AATTTATTGAAGATGTAAATAAGGAATTTATTGAAGATATAAATAAGGAATTTGTTGAAGATATAAATAAGGAATTTATTGAAGATGTAAATAAGGAATTTATTGAAGATATAAATAAGGAATTTGTTGAAGATATAAATAAGGAATTTATTGAAGATGTAAATAAGGAATTTATTGAAGATATAAATAAGAACTTTATTGACAACCAAGTGAAAAGATAATATAAAGAATTTATTGAACCTACCTAAACAGGTATAAGGAATTTATTGAACACTAACTGAACAAATATATAAGGAATTTATTGAACATCAAATGAACAGATATAAAGAATTTAATAAACACCAACTTAGCAGATATAAAGAATTGATCAAACCACCTAAACAGATAAAAGGAATTTATTCAACAACAACTGAATATATATGTGGATTTTATTGAACAACAACTGATCAGGGAAATATAAGAATTATGTGCTCAGTGAGAAAACATACATAAAGTGAAAGCAACAGAATAGGCATAAGGTAGTATGTGTGCATTGACAGAATGGATACAAGGTATGTGCTTATTAATGTGCATATTAACAGACCAGACATAAAGTATGAGCACATTAGATAAATGGACAATTTGCTGTTAGGGTTGCAGGACCCAAACCAATTACCGTAATGAACTTATGTTTAAAAAACCTGAACAACATAGGGGGAACTGCTGCTTTTCTTTCCCCATCCTCCCTATCGTAACTTTTCCTCTACTTCTTTTGTATGTTTGTCACTCTCTTATGAACTGTTATTTCCGGGGAGTCTCGAAAGTTGAAGCAGACTTTGTGCTGTTGAGGCTAGAGAGATGAGCAGAGTAAGCCTGATTCCCCGTTTGGATTTATCTATAGACACCCACCCCTTGACGCTCATATGACTTTATGCAGTGGCGAGCGCCGTAAAACCTTACTAAAACAAAAGCAATAGTTATAAACGTCTAAGAAACTTGTCATAAAAAGCGGTCCTGGAAGGAATAAAACAAAATGTCTAAACAATTTCAATTCATGACGACGACAGGTTTTTTAGTACATGTATTTACTTTTTTCTAATATTTCTATATTTGGCGTGGTTTTGTCTTTCCTAGAAATGCATTTTGTAGTGGTAAAAAATGAATTGATGACGTTAGTATGTCCTACTGAAACGTTTTCTCTATTTCGACGTCTATTCTTCCACTTTTCCATTCTGTTTCACATACAAATACATACACAAATACACACACATACACACACACACAAATAAACAAACAAACAAAAAACGCCCACACTCACACATACACTAACAAAATACACTACACTACACACACACACAAACACACACACAACACACATACACGCAAACAAAATACACACAAACAAACAAACAACACACAAAAACACACACACAAACACACGCACAACACATACACACACGGACACACACACACACACACACACAAAACACACACAACACACATACACATAAACAAAATACACACACACAAACAAAACTAACACCCCCCCCCCACACACACACACACAGGAAATACAACATCGTGGTTAACCTCCGAGACATCAACGACAACGCGCCCAAGTTCAACCAGACGACCGTGACCCTGAAGATCCCGGAGTCGGTGACAGTGGGCAAGAAGTACTCGGTACCTGGTGCCTTCGATGACGACAGAGGGCCAGGCAACTCCATACAGTCCTACAGCTTCCAGCCACCCAGGAGCACCTTCAGCGTACAGTATTTCCAAGTCAGTGCTTTACGCTGTTTTTGTGTCTGTTTGGGTAAATGGTTTTTACACGCACAGATAGATAGATAGATAGATAGATAGATAGATAGATAGATAGATAGATAGGTGTGTGTGTGGGAATGCGTGTGTGTGTGTGTGTGTGTGTGTGTGTGTG